ACAGTATTTTCACCAACACAATCACACCTTGGTTGACTAAATCTACATCTATAATAACCTTTTTAAACATTTAATAGGCCAGTGTCAAATTTCTCAACATTACCTGTGTTATGTCTTCATTGTGTTTCCCATGGCTCAGTAAAAAGGACAAAATGCTGTCCAATAAAGTTTGCAAAATTTTCCTTTTTTATCTGTTGCCAAGATCAACAGTTGCAAAACTTAATTTCCATGAGCAATGAGTAGATGGATGCATGTATTTTGTCTTCAAGTTCAAACTCAAGCTGGATTTCCCCGTCCCTTTGCCTTTGTTGTTGTGACTTTGAGAAGTTGTGCCTGCCTCTGAAAATGCAGGGTCTGGGGCAGTGTTTTTTTCAAGGAGATACATTTGCATGTCTCCCTCCTCGACAGTGGAGGAGGAGGGTGCCAAGGAGAGCTACTGTCAACTAAACAGAAGGGAAACGTTTTCCCTGGGGTTATTTATGACTCCATATCAATATTGACATCACCCTGGTATTAAGAGACCAACATACCAAATATCCAAATATCAGATATTATTAAAATATCCACATGCCTAATTGTACATTTAAGGATTTGAAAGCCTTTATGGCACATTTTCCACTGGCGACAATATCATTTCTCTATGGATTTTTTTTAGAATTATTGGGAAATAAATTTATGAAAGTATGGAGTTTGCCTTTGGGATTTGTGTTTGTTCTAACAATCCACCTATGTCTCTATCCTGGTGTCAAAGTCCATTTTAAGGTCTTTGTCTACTCAATTTTCCCTTAGTTCATTATTTTCAAGGAAATGTTACAGATTGACAGGGACACACAGTCCAGACATTATTAACAAAAAAAATCCTGCATCATGTTTGGAACACACATAAGAACAATTATTTTCTCACTTCTAAATTTTGTGCAGTGTGAGACTTTCTAGGATTCAAGAAACATTTTTTATCACCCAGTCCATACAGATCCCTATTATTTTGTGGAGATTACATGTTAACAGAGCAAGATCTCCTAAATCTTTAGCACACTGAGGGATCCACATCATACAACAGTGCATGCTGTGTTGTTTTTGTGTTGCTGACCGGTACTGTTGTGAATTCACATAACTGTGAAATTCTTCAGACTGTTAGATGAGCTTTGAGTGCTCCTCAGGGAAAAATAAACAATAGCAGCATTTGTTTCGCCAATAAAATTAATGCTTAGAGTCCATTGTAAAGGCTGGAGAGGCTGCGTCTTTTCCTCAGAATGCAACACAAAAGCTGTTCCGTGTTTTGTGCATGTTTTCTCCAACACTAAATGAGCCTATGTATATATAAGTCTAATCACACATAGCATCTAAAGTGGCTTCCAGTAAAGCACAATGTTTGATTTCCATTGTTTGGATCATAATAGCCATCGCAGCTACTGGGTATGCGACAGCGAGACATGTGTACCACCCACTGTGAGGGCAAATACTCCAGTGGCTGCATTGTGCAGCAGGAATTCTTATTTGCAAACATAGCAGGCAGATTACATCAACACACAGATTTAGACAGACCCAGCTCAGATTAACCCTCACTGACCAAAAGTCTCCAGTCAAAAACAACAACATTGTCCCAAAGCAAGAAATAAAACACCTTCAACAAATTGATTACCCTCTATATTTTGCAGCATAAAATCTATGTTATTAACAAAACTTAGTCAAGACAAGACATCTGTAAACCTGCAGCATCTCTCCTTGTTTGAATGAGTGACTCATTAAACCCACCATGAATTGGTCTTACGCAACAGTCTCTAGTGTTGTAAGTGTTGTTAAGTCACTCAGCAGTGGTTTCAACTCTTTTTGCCAAAGAATGTTGCTTCGTGAAAGGAACTCCAAACAAACTTTTCCACACACTGATCTGAATGTTAAGCAGGACGATATAAAGCAACTGTCTGCAGGAATCCACACAGAAATATGTCCCTGTATCAAGAATGATGTTGCCATACATGTCACCTACAAGGGGATATATGTGGATATATGGAATACCCATTGTGAAATAATATATAAAAAATATCTATGATGAATTTTTATATGGTATAACATGTTGCAAGCACATAACGATATAGAGTAGTATATTTAATTTATGGCTTTATGCAAGTTTATTAAAACAACATAAATATGAAAATTTTATATGCTTATATATGTTTTTCTTTTCTCATTAATTTTAAACATGTCTATCTTCCCATTCTGGGAAAGTGGTCTGAGACTTTTGGAATCCACTGTATATAATATCAACATATACTGACAGGCTTTGGGATGGATATATATTTATGTAACATGTCTACGATATAAGCATACATACATAAACATACATATTTGTATGGGCTAGACATATATGTCATTATATGAAAATGAAAGGTTTCATATATCACTGTTTCTTTATTTTATATGTATATACCTTTCATATATGGAAATTCTACATTTAATGGAAATTCAGTGTGACCTTCTGTGAATATAGGAATGAAACTGTATATTTTCATATATTTGAATTATTATAATTGAATACCAATGTCAAACAGACTGTTATGATTTGAAATGTGTTGATCCACTGGCATGAAACATGTATATCCTATATTCAAGCTTTGACCTACCTATCTAACTTGTAATATTATGTGTTATGTTGTAATGGTTGCGCTTCCACTATATAAAGACTAAACTAAACTAAGCTAAGCTAAGCTAAGCTAAGCTAAGCTAAGCTAAGCTAAGCTAAATTAAACTAAACTAAACTAAAATGAACTAAAATGAACTAAATACAGTGTTTTGGTTCTATATATACCATCTGAAATGAACTTCTTTGGAACTTTTTTTTTTTTTTATCTCTGGGCTTTCCCACTTCATGTAATTTTCAACAATAGTGTCACATGGTGGAGAGATACAGGGAGATATACCATGATGGTCAAACAATAACACAGTCTAAAAAATTATGCACTTTTCACCCTCATTTCCTTTCCGCCAAGATAGCCAGAATAATTCATTATAATAAGTTCATAACATAACTCAGTGTCAGTGGCTGAGATCATTACATGTGTTAACGTGGTTTATTGTAAAAGTACAATGCAGAGTACAATATTTGACAAGTAAATGATGTTTAAGAATGTCTTGAGTGGTGTGTCTGCATGTGTGTCTACATGTGTGTGTGCAGACAAGCACTTGCACAGATGTAGCCAACATACTGCATGTGTATCCTACACACTGCATCCTGTGTTTCCCTATTCACATATACACACTAGCCGGTATTTAGGCTTTGTGTGTGTGTGTGTGTGTGTGTGTGTGTGTGTATGTGTGTGTGTGTGTGTGTGTGTGTGTGTGTGTGCATTTGTGCATATATGGAAGCAGTAGGTCACCACAGTCCAAGTCAACTAAGTGCAGGTCATATAAAGATTGAGCAGGTGATGTGCGGTGAGACAATGTATACAAAGCATTTAAAGACCTTAATTCCTGGAACACACAAGTGATTCAACAACAAACTTAGTAGTTAGTGCTAAAAGAAAAACAGGGAGTATTTTCTAAGAAGTGGAGGAATATTCATAATATCAGTTTAACTGTTTGTTAGCTATTTTAAAGCTTTTATTTTATTCTAATGCTTTAACACTTTCAGGCCTTATTCAGTAACTATGGACACAACTTTGAGACAAATCACAGGAGATGTGCATGAGAAGCTGAAATGGTTGGGGAGTCCATGTAAGGACAGAGTGTTGAGCTGTGTGTGAGAGAGGGAATAGTATTTAGCCTATAAATAGTTATTTCTCTATTCAGTCCTATTTATTGTTAAAACAACATTTTGTCTTTATTGAACCTGAAGATTTTACACACCAGGCTCAACAGTAGCTTGCGCTCTGCAGACTGACTGATTGTGGCGTGTGTGTGCGTCCTGATAACATCCCGGCAGACTGGCCTCAAGCCAGTCATGGGCAAACTCACCCTGCCGTTTGATGTCGAGGGTTGGCTCCAGGCAGACCAAGCATTGTGTCCTAAACAATGAACCCCAGACCCACTGAACTATAAACATGTCCCTTTGGGGGCGTTTTCCTAAGATTCTGTACAGGAGACACCCAAAGTCAGGAAACCTGACCCAGCTTTTCCAAATTTAGTAACTCTAAAGTTGCACATGCTGCTGACTTGGCATCCAAGATTGTCTGTGTCCTTCTCTAATAAGGTAATAATGTCCTAGGAATGTTGACTAGGGCTCAAGTCTGGGGTGGAGGTCTATAATTCAGGATATTTGTTGAAATTCCATATCAAAAATGAAAAACAATTCCATCACCTAAATTAACTTTTGTTAAATTGACTGTGGCATGGAAATGTCAGCCCCATTCTACAGAATAAAGTCAGTATTCATGGCTGTCCTTGCGCTTTGCACTGTTGCATAACAGCAGTACAATCTAGTTATGGCTGCTGGAGTGTTGTTGAGGCTCCCCTTTATCTGGAGGCTTCTGCCCTATATGTTGGCAAGTCTCTGCCCCAGGGTAATGTCCTTAAACCTGAATGTTGATGATGTACAGAATCACAATGTAATTTTTGTCAAACTTTCCTCTATAAAACTATAATTTGTTTAATTTAATTTATTTTCTTTGTTGCTGTTTTATCCTTTTGTAACGCACTTTGTGACTTTATTAGGAAAAGTGCTGTATAAATAAAACTTATACTTATACTACTAGTTATACTAATTATAATTATTATTGCCATTCTATCAAGAATTTTGTGATACTCATGTTCTGTACACATGACATCTATTGCATGTCTGTGTCCTGGAAGAGGGATCCCTCCTCTGTTGCTCCTCCTGAAGTTTATTCCATTTATCCACGTTAAAGGTTTGTTTGCTGAGTATTTCCTTTTCCGGTGGTCTAAGAAGAGAGGTAAAGTTGTAATTGGTGGTACTTAAAACTGACTTGACTTGCCGACTGGCGCTGCAGTACTCACTGTCCACCAACTATGGCCGCTGCTGAGTCTCCTCAGTGAGTGGAGACAGTGAGAGGCCTTCCGGTTCCTCTCGCAGATCAGCTGACTCTGATGCTGCTGTCAGGAGACCTCACGAACTGTATTGAATGGCAACTATGAAAATTATCAAGCCATAGAAACACTACAAACAGCTATATTTTAACTGGCAACGGCCACATTTTAATACACAGGTGAGTGAAATTGTTAAACAACCACAATTACCGCCTGTGTTGTTGTTGTGAGCCAAGCTAAGTGGCTAACGGTAGCTAATCCCTGCTGGATGTTGCTTGACCTTAACCATCTTTTTTGGCAGCTTCGTTTGACATAGTGTGTCGTTTATTTCTTGTTTATCGCTTTGAAACTTTATGTAGTTGTTAGAATATAAATGCGAGAGCTAGAAAAACGTTATTGTCAGCTTGCAATGGATTTCGACCCTGAATGAGCTCCTGTTGCTATTGTAGCAGTCTTTCATTAGCCTGCTTAGTGGCAAACAGTCTCAGCATACTTAATGTCAACAGCACCAGCAGCTCTCTGGAGCTAACATTTAGCTAAAAACACGAGATGTGTAAAGACAGGACTTTACCTGTATTATAGCCAAAGCAGTGCTATTGATAAAGAGACAGACTCAGTGAAGGGGGGTGGAACAAAACCTCATAGTTTTATTAACTGAATAATAATAATAACAGAGACAGTCACATTAGCCTAAATATAGTTTTCTTCTCAGTTTTCTCTAGCTGCACCAGTGCTGTAATCATGACAGAGTTTTGGCTGATCTCTGCACCTGGAGAGAAGACCTGCCAGCAAACATGGGACAAAATGATGGCAGCCACCACACGGACCAACAACCTCTCCACCAACCACAAGTTCAGCATACCAGACCTCAAGGTTAGCATTGGATTTATACCCTCTTTGTTATGTTTCATACTTTTCCACCTGTACACAGCCACAACTCTGTGATATTATATAATCTGTTTACTTTACACTCAAGTAGTTCATTGTGGTCCTGATTTTCCTTCTTGCACAACTCATGATGTTCCACTTAAAAAGGAGTTAGATAGTGGTTGTAGATGCAGGCTAGTATTAAAATCACTCACCTTATATATCCACTGTCAAGAATAAGCTGACTCTGTGTATGGGAAGCAGCCTTTACACAGATCCGTTGCCTGCATGTTGAAGCGATGGTTAGGCGAAGGTTTCATCCACAGAGCGGTTCAGCTCGTCCGGATCCTCTCTGTGCTGAAGGTGAAGTAACCTCGCTGACCTTGCTGCCACATGGGGCTGCAATGTTCTCCTGGAACTGTTAGCAATGCATGAGTGTGTCTGGACAAAGAGGCGCCGTTCTAAGCACATAGGGCCCCCTGGATGTCACTGTAGGCTGATTGAACCCCAGATGTCACTGTTTAAACACAACCTCGCTGACCCAGATGTCAGGACTGATGATGAGTCAAAAGTCATAATGCGTTGATGTTTTATTTTTTTCCTTTTTGTGTCCAAAAACAGGTCGGGACATTAGATGTCTTGGTCGGACTGTCGGATGAACTGGCCAAATTAGATTCCTTTGTCGAAAGGTATGCTACCTGCAGTGTTCTGACTTGAACTGAACTTTGCTATTCTCTATTTCTGGAGGATGATCATTGTAGCGAAGTTGTTTCTTTACAGAGTTTTTAATAATCCCTTTAAATGCTGTCCTTTTTTAAATGACATTAACAAAATCTCCCTTAACTTGTGTAGCACTCCAGACTCACTGATGTACTGGGTTTACCGCTGCCTAATCCCCTCCCTTACCTTGTAACAATGAGGAATTTCACAGGGACCTGAGACTAGCAAGCCTTGAAGTCTAAACTTGGCCATTTACAGTTGGGTGACACACCAGCAGCTCTTTCTTTAGTCATATTTATACCCGATGACTTATGTGCCGCAAGTATGTTTGACTGTAATTTATAGCATTTTGAAAATATGACATCCAAAACTCACACACAGCCATTACTGCCTGAGGCCTGCTTTGCCTCCTCTGTGAGAAGACTGTGAGAAAGACCAACTTTGCAACACGGTTTCACTTGTTTGAGTAGAGTCTGTCTTTAATCTATTTCCTTTTTGAAGTTTCCATCCATTATAGATTGTCAAAGTGAAACCTAAGCGACAGATATGTGACTTGGCTGAGTCATTGCATGGCTTCAGTACTCTAGGCACAGTTCTGCTTAACACTATTGATTATATAATAGGGGATAGTTTTATAATATCTTTTTCATGGAATTGAACTGTCAATGTTTAGGTGGGTTTGGTCAAGTTTTAATTTGTGCTACTACCACCTACATCAGCAGCCTGATGTTTCATGTTACTTTTATCTATTTCACCTGTAGACACAGTTCGTCTCTGATGTGCTGCTGATCAAAAACCTTTTAACTCTGAAAGTCTGCCATTTTATAAATTGCCTTGTCAGGAAGTTGCCCTCACAGAAACATGTGAACCTTTTTGATGTGTGTGTATGTTTGTGTTAAATGTAGAGGATGAGTTCATGGTGGTCATGTGAGCATGTGCAAGGCGAATGTGTGGTTTACTCTGGCTTTGAGCACGCAGTTTGTGTTGGCATGGTGTGTTTTGATTGCTCCTGGCTGTTCACAGTGTGGTGAAGAAGGTAGCTCAGTACATGGCCGACGTGCTGGAGGACAGTCGAGACAAAGTACAGGAGAACCTGCTGGCCAATGGAGGTACAGTGATAGTTACAACACAGTATCTGTTGATTATTTTACCACTAAAAACATGGTGATTACCAAGTGAACAGGTAATGTATCTTTCACACGGTATCTTCCATCGAGGAAAATACAACTTTATCATTCACAAATCACTGATGTTGTTCTCTACAATCTTATATAGTCATGTGTTAAGAGTCAAATCATTTTAAATTAAAAAACAACATAATTGTCACTTGTGTCTTGGTATTTAACCATGCAGGTGCTTTGATTTCGTTTGCCAATCTCTTAAATTTCTGCCTCAGAAATCAGCGGTTCTATAAAGTCAGTTTCTTTGGTACATTAAAGTTCCTGTGAGCATCGTCCACAGTTAGTGGACGTCTGTGATTTACAGGGACACTGAATCTATAAAACATCTGTTGAACTGTTAAAATTAAAATTTTCTATTTTATTATATTCAATACTTTCAACAACACAGATTAAATTCCACTGATCTTTATTATATTGTTATGGTGGCAGAAATTTTCTGTGAAGGACATATCAAAATCTTGGCAAATAAAACTGGAACTATTTGCATGACTAGATACAATGAGAGGTAAATAAGAAATTATTTATTTTTGTAATTTGGAGGAAAACTCTTTTAGTTGTATTTGAAAGCGCTGTAAAAACAGCCTTACTTAACCTTTAGCTGGACATAATGTCATAAAAGAGAGATGATAACAAGACAAGTCTTTTGCTGTTTTTTTCAGTTGATCTCGTCACCTACATCACAAGATTTCAGTGGGACATGGCAAAATATCCCATCAAACAGTCACTTAAAAACATCTCTGAAATCATCTCAAAGGTGGGTCTGTCCGTTTAAGTAGAAAATATACATGTCGTGTCATAAATTCCATGTTAATCTCTATTTCAGTTGTAAGTCTTTTCAGCCTTGTTTCTCATCTTTTACAGCAAGTAACCCAGATCGACAATGACCTGAAGACAAGAGCGTCAGCCTATAACAACCTGAAGGGAAACCTGCAGAACTTAGAGAGGAAGAATGCGTAAGTGACCCGCAGACACTAAAATGCATTTCTGACACTAAGGTCTTTAAAAAATGTAATGTAGCCACAGGAAACACTAGGAGCAGTTAGGAAAATAAGTCAAAAAAAGAAAAAATTAACTTTACCAAGTCTCATCAACGACAGTGTGGCTATTAGCAGAACCGACTATAAAAATGGCTGTTGGCTGGCAGCACGTTATATCAGGCAGCTCCGAAATATAACACTACCCCTGCAACGAAAATGTCATACTAGAATATTTAGTCAAAAACCTCCTTAATTAAGCCTGATCTCACTCCCGTCAATATCGTTTTATTCCCTTTTTTTTTAAAATTGATTTTACAGATTTTCAGTTCACTCGGTGTGTCAGAGGAATTACTGGACATGTTTTATGACCGTGTCAGTATGGGCTGAAAAGTTACTGCGACTCGGCAGTGCTTTGGCAACACCCAGCCCCGTTCACTAGGTCACGTCCATGTTATTGTAACACTGCTGTGTGCCACTAGGGGGAGTCTGCTGACCAGGAGCCTGGCTGACATTGTCAAGAAGGAAGACTTTGTGCTCGACTCAGAGTACCTCATCACTCTGCTGGTAGTTGTACCAAAGTGAGTATTACTTCACCAGTCAAATAAGTGAAAAAGAAAGCGACATACTGCTTCATAATGTTGAAGACAGACTTATTTTATCCTGCTGGTTTGTTGTTTCAGGACGGGGTACACCGACTGGCAGAAAACATATGAAACACTCGCTGAGATGGTGGTGCCTCGATCCACAAAGTGAGTGATGTCATCATATCAAGCAAAATATTAGATTAAACATTTTGACATTTTGTATTTTATGCACTATTTGTCTCACATGATTTTGGTTTCATCTGTATTTTTATTCATTTTCTTGCATTAATTTTTTATATATTATAGAGTTGTCTTACCTGTATCATTGTAGCAGTGTAACAGGTACCTTTCCTTTCTTCCAGTCTGCTATTTGAAGACAACGACAGTGGCCTGTTTAGTGTCACTCTATTTAGGAAAGCCATTGATGACTTCAAACACAAAGCCAGAGAGAACAAGTAAGAGCTGTTACACATTCTTTACCATTACACAACACTGTGTGAATCATAAAACAGGTTGTGTGAAAAGTGACTACAAAAAGAAGCCAGACTGTTGGGTAAATATAAATAGCTCTAACAAAATACATGTATCAACAGGGAGAGCGACACTGATCGCAGGCTATATAAACGAATTTTATTATTTTCACACAGCTGTCACTCTTTTTCTTTTTTTTTTTTTTTAATGTATGAAGAATATAAGCCAGTATTGTTATAAAAACAGAAATATTCATGTCCCCTCCTCTCCATCTTATTTTCTAGGTTCACAGTCAGAGACTTTCAGTACAATGAAGAGGAGATGAAGGCAGACAAAGAGGAGATGACGCGACTCTCCACAGATAAGAAGAAGCAGTTTGTAAGAGAAACGGACACTGTGGCATTTGTTTTAAAGTTGGCTGTTAAAAATAGGTCTAGATTTCTTCTGTAGATTTGTTTTTGTGTCGTTCTCATTGGTATGGTCCCTTGCTGGCTGTGTTAAGACCTTTCGTTAATCTTGAAAGTCATAGTCTTAAAAAAAAAAAAAGAAAAAATCCCATACAAGTGGTTTGGCATGTTTTATCCCATTATTTACTGTACAAATATGTATACACATACAGTACATTACCCGCAACCATTTTTCCTAATATACTGTATGTTTTTAGTTTGATTTTCTACCTTATGTAATGTTTTGTTTTAGTGCATTATGAAACAAATTTGCATCTAAACAGTGTTTTCAGGAAATCAACTTCAAAGGAAAGACAGAAAGCAAATGTGGTTGTGTAAAAAGGTTCTTGTATATTTGTTGGTTTCCTAAATTTAGGAAACAACCAACTCACAAACTCAGATAGCAAGCAAAGCATCCTTTAACACATTAACAGAAATGTTTTTTTTTTTTAATTTTTTTTTTTTTTTTATACAAGTTAACCATTTTCAGGAAAGGTTCACCAGTGTCCTTAAATTAATGGAAAACCATCGGCTGTTTGGAAGTCAGTCAAAATCCTTGTGAATGTGACAATACCGACAAGGGGCCACCATACATAACAAATAGAAACAAATTTAATGGGCCTAATAAGGTTCTACCATACTTTACTAACATCTTTATTGTATTGTGTTTACATTTCTTTCAGTGGCTTGTAAAATACTGTTAGACACGTTTAAACTCACCTTTTGTCTGGATGAGTTTTTTTTCACTGTGCTCTGTGCAAGAAAACTGGAGTGTTTGTGTTTTATCAGAAAAGAACCAGTTACAGCCAGCAGCAGCCAGAAAATGCTGACCAAACACAAATCCACTGCAGTAAAAAAAACATTTCCTACTTACCAGTGGTGTTAGAGAAAATGGGCCTGTTTCAGACAGAAAGAGAAATAAGGCACCCTCTTGTTTAAGTGCTATCTGCCAGAGTTTGATAAGCAGTACACATTTAAGTCATTGGTTACAAATTAATTCAAGGTTTTAAAACTGACACATCTAAACTAGTATAGTATAGTTACTATTAAAGAGTAGCTTTTCTAACCCCATGTTACATTTCCTCTTTGCAGGGTCCACTTGTTCGATGGCTGAAAGTGAACTTCAGTGAAGCCTTCATCGCCTGGATCCACATTAAAGCACTAAGGGTCTTTGTGGAATCTGTTTTAAGGTACAGCCCCGGTACCACCCATGTATATAACTACATAAAAGCTGAACACATAATCACTTGACACCGTTTTAGTGATTAAAAGTTGTTTAAACTGTGTGTTGCTCCTTTATGGTTATTGCACATGTGTGATGTGTTCCTGCAGATATGGGCTGCCAGTGAACTTTCAGGCCATGCTGCTGCAGCCAAGCAAGAAGACCATGAAGAAGCTGAGGGAGGTGCTCAATGATCTGTACAAACATCTGGACAGCAGTGCAGCAGCTATCATTGATGTGAGTACTTTGTTAATACTGTGTAAAGATCTTACTGCAAGGTCATAGCATCAAGAAAAACACTGCACATCTTGAAGAAACAACTTCATGATATGATTATTGTGGCAGAAGTTATGAAATAAAATTTCTCAGCAAGTATTTAATTCATAACTGAAATGATAAAACATACAATACCTCGATTTCCTAAAAGAATTAAACAAAATATCTATTTCAGAAACAACTTTTAACTCCTTTATTCTAAAATGCATTGACAAGTTTTAGCTTTTCTAACAATTTAATATACAGTTTTTGCTGTTATTTCAGATGTAAACTTTACATTTTAGTCCATTCCAAAAGAGGAAATGAACTACTAATTTAAACAACAGAACCTGCAGTGTGTCCCAGATCTATTCTACACATCAAATCTAAGCAAGCTTGGAGTATGTCGTGGGTTCACACTGGAACAGAGACAAAATAGAGTTTACTCAAAGCAGACATGGATGCTACATAAATACTGTCAAGTGTGCTGTTCATGGACACTATTCTTCCACATTGCAATGCACAGAGGCAATGGAGGAGCTGCACACGACAGGAAAAAACTAGATTCAATGATGGGAGGTGAAACGGCTCCAGAAAGAATTTGGAAAAGAAAAAAAAAAAATTAAATCTTAAAGATTTTCTCTTTGTGAAGTTGAATTGGAAGTGACATTCCAAGTTAAAGGTACTGTTAGTATATCATGGTAAAGTATGTTGATTTTTTTCTTGTATACTAATACTAATACTAATTTGCACTTTGTATACTAAGTGCAGATTAGTATACTTATTATTGATTTGGGACATATCAATGAGTTTCTACTGCTGCAGTCTGTGATTTTCCTCCGTCATTGTCTGAGAATAACAGGTGCTCCCCCTCATGGCCACAGATGGTTAGTGGCAAAATGACAGTGTTGTAATGCCTCTGTTATACAGTGTGAACCATATACAGCCATTTAACAATGTTGTGTAAGTAAAACTAATGGTAATACACTTATACACATCATGAAAAGGAGTTTTGGTAAAATAACTGAAAAATAAATATATATATTTTTTAAGTTTAAATGTCACAGTCTTAAGTTAAAGTTATAATATATATCTTTTTATCTCAAATGTTTCCAGCAATTCTCAAACTGAGAAATCTGTGATTTTAATCATGGTAACAGTACATGTCATTTGGTCACCTGACAATGACGACATATCCTCTATGATCATGTGTTGGTGTTGTAGTTGTAAGCCACATACACTTTTTACACTTTGGTGGTTTTCAACTCTATATTTGAACCAGGTGAAGGATTTTGGTGATCTTAAGTTATCAGAGAAAAGAGCTGAGTGAATGTTAGACAGCTCAGCTCCCAGCTGCTGGAGACGTCCTGTCCTGTGTCCGCTGAAGAGCGTTGGTGAATCTCTGATCTTGAAAGTGAAACTGCTTTATTTATTTACTGGCTTTAATCCTGTGGTCTGTTTTTTATGGAGAGGAGGACACCTCTGTGGATAATTCTCAGCTCCCAACTCTTCCCTGACGTCTCTGTTCTCCGTACAGCGTCGGTCAAACACTGACTGTGTTTTTCACAGTTATAATCACCTGGTCTGTTTGATTTCCTGAATGACTGACACTGAAGGAATCCAAACTAAGAGAAGCTGGTGGTGAAGACAACAACTCCCATAATCCCACGCTATTTCATGACATCACCCAACATTGTCTTTTGTTATTGTTGTGATTGAGAGACCCCTAGAGGCAGAAGTTACTGACTGCGTTTAAATGCAGGTTAACCTGGGATTTAGGATGAGAGACATTTAATATCATATTGTGTTTTTCTCAGAGCTCACTTGACTCTGTAGGTGGTGCTGTTTTCTTTCTTCAGCCATGTTAATGCTGCACCAACTACTGTACCACTGTTATCCTTATATTACTTCCAAACAAGCTGTAGTTTTAAGTAATACTGTAGGGTATTTACTGTTTGTCAGTGTTGGATTCAGTGAAGATTTGCCTTGGTGTCATACTGTAAAACAGCTGTTTGTCAGCATAAGGCAGATTTCATTTAGCCTCTAATATAAAAGATGATTTCAGATATTCACTAATTCAAACTTCTGCTTACACACACACACACACACACACACACACACACACACACACACACTCACTAACATCACTGTTTCTTGTCTTCTCATTTCTAGTCTGCGATGGACATCCCAGGCTTGAACCTGAGCCAGCAGGAGTATTATCCTTATGTCTACTACAAGATCGACTGCAACCTGTTGGACTTCAAAGTTTAACACTTTTCCTATTTTGTCTTTATGTTGAGTGTTGATTAAGTTATGTTTTTCCGGGTACAAACCTCCCCCTCCTCCTCCCCCTCCTCCCCCTCCTCCCACCGTCCCAGCTGTCTCTCTCCTCGCTGTTGCCTCTCAACATCAGCTGCTTGAATGACAACGCTGCATGTTCATTCCTTGTGGTGGAAAGGCTCATCAACAAGCTTCTACCACTTTTACAACCAAGGGACAAAAAAAAGAAAAAGACTTTTAAATTTTGTTTTTGTTTACAGTTTATTTTTCTTCACAAGCCACACAAATAATTGATTTTTTGATGTGAAAATTAATTAAGAAATCAAACTAAAGAGCTGTGTATTTACTGTGTCATTCCACATGTGGTGGTGTGTATTGATAGCTACATCTTCTGTATCGGTGTTCGGAGATTTGTGTTTACGTATGGGCAGTTTTATCATTGTTCCCATGGCAACCAGATCTGTATGTCTCTGAGATTGTGGGTCACCCCCTGCGGACATTGTGAAACAAAGATGTTATATGAGTGTGTGTTGTTTCATGTTGTGTATATTTTCTGTCAAAAAGAGATCTATATCTGAGTATTGTGTAAGCCATTGATTGAATAAATATGATTGAAGAAGAAATCATATCAAATGTGAGTCAATTTGTGGATAAGTATCAAGAAAACTGCAGCATGTTCACCGTTTCTTCTTTGATTTCATGTTTGTTTGACCAGAGTGCAGAAGAGTATGAATGTGACATGACTTGAAAGTCATATGGAGACATTCATGTGAGAGAAGTGAATGTGAGACTCATACAGCAGCTTCTGTGTGCGTAGTAAAAAGAGTTTCTCTGTGAAGCCTCGTACTGACTCATTTGCAGAGCCTTGGGCAATTTCGAGGAAACGTCCTCTTTAAGTAGAAATCATTTGGAATCTACACAGCTTCAAGGAAAATACTCAAGCTTCAAAATGCAAGGGACCTGCTGTATATACCACCAGCAGAGGGCAGCACAGGATCCGTCATGATCATGAATGCGTTGTTAGTTGGCGCCAATGGCTGCCTCACAAAAGCTACTGGAAACCCAAAAAGGAGGATTCACAAATGTAAACATGGGAAGGGTGCAGCAAACGCATACACTCTCCACCCTGGGAACCTGTTTATTAAAGTGTAACATGTACACCCACTGAGCACTTTATTAGGAACACTATACTGATACCGGATAGAGCCTCAGTTCTTTGTGGCATGGATCCCACAAGAGGTTAAAAATATTCCTTTGAGATTCTGCTCCTTGTTGACATGACTGCACGTCATCATTTCTGCAGATTTGTCACATTCATGCTGCTAATCTCCTGTTCTACCACATCCTAAAGGTTTTCTATTGGATTCAGATCTGGTGACAAGGGAGGCCACTGAACTCATTATCTTGCTCATGAATCCATTGTGTCATGGTGCATTATGATGCTGGAAGTAGCCACTGGAAGATGGTAAACTGTGGCCATGAAGGAATGCACACGGTCAGCAACAATACTCAGATAAACTGCAGCATTTAAACAATGACTGATTGGTATTAAGGAACTCAGAGTGTGCCCAGAAATCATTCCCAACACCATCACCACAACCAGCCTGAAGTGTTAAACCAAGCCAGAAATCCAGATTCACCAGACCAGGCTACGTTTTTCCAGTCTTCAGCTGTGTCCAGCTCTGGTGAACCTGTGTCCACCACAGCCTCCGATTTCTGTGCTTTGCTGACAGGTACCAACAACTACCTGTACACCTGCTCATTCATGCAATTATCCAATCGGCCAATCAATGCATACAATCCTGCAGATACAGGTCAGGAGCTTCAGTTAATGAGTGTTCACAGTAGTGGAAGGTGAATTACTTGTAAAAATAGCAATATCACTCTTTAAAAATATTCCATTACCAACAATTTTAACTGTTTCATATACTATTGGGAATTTTACATATTTTACAAATGGACCATATGTTCTGTGTGTAACATCTCAACCTGAAAAGCATCTAGCAACTACAGCTGTTAAATAAATACAGAGGAATAACAATACAAATCCATCTGAAATGTTCAGTAGAAGTATAAAGTAGCATGAAATGGAAATACTCAAGTAAAGTACAAGTGCTTTTCGCTCCCAACAAAATTTAAGTTCCAATGTGATAAAGATCTTCATTAGTTTGACCAGTCACTGAAAGACATAAACACACCTGTCACTCAGGAGTTTGTAATCTGCATGATTAAGAGTCAGCTGGATCAGTCAGTACAGAGCCGGTAACACTGTCTGAAACTCCCTGAGGAGACCAAGTACACCAACACCTGCGATAGGTGAAGAACCACAGCCAATAGAAAAATCTGTAAACGTTGACTTTGTTAAGAGCTCAGGTGTTCTTAATTACGGCTGATTGGTCCTCTGCACAGGATGAAGACATACAACACACAGTAAGAGTGATAACAATAATAAGTGAAAACACCTGTGTGGGTGGACCATGGCTGCGTGAGGCTTTGACTATCTGACCAAAACACAAGTAAAAGCCTTCTACAGACACATGAACACCACCACAAACAAACAGTGAACATTTTAAAAAACATAAACTAGCCAAGAAAGTGATGCAAAACACAATCAGACAAAGATCAATAAATAAGAAATAAGACAACAGATATAAAATGGGACCCAAGATGCTCAATATATAAAATAAAATAAATTGTATAAAGAAACTATAGGTCTAAAGTTTGACTGGTACTGTACAGCCTACATTCACACTAAAATAAGAGTGAATAAAATAAAAGTAGAAACATTTCAAATAAAGGCAGCGTGAAGTGCAAATGGTGGTGTTACACATATGCAGTGTATTTACTATGTCACAAATTAGGAGCAATGAATAAACTGCACAGAAAAGTGCATCTGCCTTACTGCAGAACAGGAGAGATGAAAACACATGAAATGTAAAAAACCAACAAGTAAATCACTTATGAGCTCACAATGATTCAAGTCAAATACATTACACTACAGTTTAACAGTAATGTTAACCAGGGCAAATGTTTGCTCTTATTAACTCCCCCTACCTCCCACCCTGTGTGCACTGTACACTACCCTGTCAAACCCTCAAGTTCCCATCAGGCACCACCTACTAATATATGCAGGAATCATGGAGCCTGGATTTGACAGAGGAATCCCCTGTAATTTGAAAAAGAAAGAAATGCTTAGGTGTGTGTGTGAGAGAGAGCGAGAGAGAGAGAGAGAGAGAGAGAGAGAGAGAGAGCGAGCGAGAGAGAGAGAGAACGAGAGAGATCATGTGATGAAGGAGTGAGCCTGCCTTGATGTGTTGGGATGTGACACACACACACACACACACACACACACACGCACTGTGCAGCCAGGCTACAATCACACAGACACACACCGTCTTATGACTGCTGCTGGCAACAGAAACGTGAACGAGGCGTCTGGCGGGCGGGTAAACAACCACCGGTGCGCCGCGGTAGCTGCTCCTGCTGCTCGGGGAGCCGGAGGGAAGCATCAATGCCTCCAGGTCTGCTCTCTCATACTGGCCTGGACCTGTTCTCGTCATCGGGCCTCCTGCGCTGAGATAATGAAAGGATGGCCCAGCAGCACGGAGGGCTGACCGCCGCAGCGACTCGCCGGGATGAGCAGCAGCATCACCACCACACGATGAATCCAGTGGAGGAAGCAAGAGTGGAGGACCTGTCTCTGGAGGAGATACTGAGGCTTTATAGCCAGCCCATCAATGAGGAGCAGGCATGGGCGGTGTGTTACCAGTGCTGCAGGACGCTGGCGAAGGGACACCGGAGCTGGAGGAGCTCCTCCGCCGCCAACGCCGCCGCCGCCGCCGCCGCATCATCAGCGGCGGCCCCGAGGAGGATATCCGGACCGGGGGATGTTCGGATACAGAGAGACGGGTCTGTGCGGGTGCACCATCAGGGCTGTGAAGGTAAAACGTTATGTAAGACTGAATGTGCCTAAAGCTACTCAGATCTAGGCCAGGCCATCACTTGCATTTCAAATAATGGGGCTCAGGTGTTGTGATTGTCCTTATGTAAAAGACTTTAATTTATAGACCTCAAATTAATTCCAGGACAAACTGAGCTTAAAAAATGACATCAACCCTTGTGTTTAAGCTGCAGCAGGAATATAATATGAACACTATAGGGGTAGCCACCACAGTGCAGTAATATATAACTTTATATAAAATGTATAAGTCTATACTTGTGAAGACTTTTTACACGTTTTACCTGATCAGGTGCTTCATTCTCATGTGAGGATTACACTGTAATCTGCAGCCAGCGGTTCAGGCTCCATTACACATGACCTAATCACTGATAAACAAAGGAATAGATCTCCTCTCCCACCAGAGACCCCCACTGCTTTCACTCTCAGGGCTCCTCATACTGTATGTGTTTTCACTGAATTCAAACTATTTCTTCAACACTGAAGGCATGTGCACATCATGTGGTTTCATCTTTTATTAAAAAAGCCCCCCCCCCCCCTCCCCAGCCTGTTCACCAGTTCACCAGTTCACATCAGATCAGGGTGTTCATTCTGATTAAAGCATGTGATTACAAGCTGAAATGTGGGCACTGGCTGGATCAAGGCCTGAGCTGATTGATGCCTGAGCAGAAAAAGACAGACAGACAGACAGGCAGGTGCATGTTAAGTTATGATGAGTTCTCATGGAGCAGGGCTTCACCTCTCTGCACATCTCCTGCAACTTCATGGCCCCATTCAGCTGTTCCTAACCACATGGGACTCATGATTACAGCTATAATTAATGAAGTGTTGTAAAATGAGAGGTTGTTTCTATTGCCAAGCTGAAAATATCCAAGAGAGGAGACTGCGTGGCAACAAAGTGTGCCAAACGAAAAACCAAAATATTCCTTTAGGTATTTACTGTGGGGCTATGCAGCACTTTTATTGTGACTTTATTGGACTTTATTGTCATTGTCTGTGGTATTTATCCCGTATCCCAGTTACTACGGATATTTTTTAGTAAAGGATGAACCCGGATTTAAAACAAAGCAAGTGACAATGTCTGCCATGTGATGTCTGTGTTGATACAGTCAGTGGGTGTGTCTGAGTACGATAACGTGCACTTTAAGCAAACACGTTATGCTGTCTCGTCAGGCCGAGGCCTGGCATGTTCATGGTCTGCTGTAATCACATTTGCTCACAGAGCGCAGAGCAGGCAGACTAAATGCCTATCTATATATCTGTGTGTGTAATGGAGTACCTGAGGGCCTGAGGGATGGGCTCTTGACACGGCTGAAATGTAGCACACGAGGCCGAACACTGCTGAGTCAATGTTATGGCTTTTTAGCCAATAAGTGCCCCGCATGCTTTGTCTTTAATCAACTTTTGTGAGCAGATCTGAGAGGCTCAGCTGTGATGGCGATGCTGGTTGTGGCCTGTAGGTATATATGGTTAGAATGAATGGGCTATTTTTAGGAGCATGGAAGCAACCATTGCAGAGGGGAGTCTGACGCTTTTATTCCTCTGTTGCTCAAGTAATGTGACATCATACAAAATTATATTGAAGTGCTATAGATTAGCATGTTTTTTGGTATTTGTATCTGCAGCCTACTTTGTTTTTCTTTATATTTCTTCAGTAATCACGTTACTATTTCACAGATGAACGTATTTGCCAACATCAGTTTCTTTCACATCAGACACTGAATGTGAAAAATATTAGAGATGCTGTTTTATGAAGTTCACAGCTGAGGTGAGATCCATTATCCTGCACAGATTTTCCACTTTGACTCAGCCACAAAATGGGGAGATGTAGTTTAGAGAGGGCTTTATTGACACAACTAAAAACAGACTATGCAGTATCTGCTCATCAATATCAGTTGTTAATGTATCCCATCCCACCCCCCCACCCCCAGGCCTGTCAAGTGCCCCTTCATTTACAACACCTGTCAAGTTTCGTGTGTTTATTTCAACTGATTTGAATCTGGATGTTATTTAACACTATTAATCATATAATTTTCGAACAGTGGTTAGGTCAGTTTGATCAAATTCCAGTGTGTGCTACAACGAATAAGAGTGGCAGCTGGATGTTTCAACTAGGGCGTCATACTATTCAAAATGATGATGATGTGATTTTTGTTGGGTCCAGTACCAAACAAACATGTTTCTTTACGTCTGAAGAAAATGATTTTTTAGCTGGGGCGTCTCTGTAGCATCACAACGCTTATGGTGCTAACAGTGCGCAATAATGTTGTGACACATTTTACCTTTTAAAAAAAAAAAATAAAATAAAAAAATCAGATTTTTTGCAGCTCCTGCGTTTTGGATATTGCACTTGGCCTTATTGTGATTTCGATTATATTTCAATTAATTGTACAGCCCTAGTTTCAACCATTTATCCATTACTTTTATCTGTTACCTGTTTATCTGTTACATTTGTCTATTTTTAGCTATTCACCCATTATCCAATTATTTATTCCACTATAATCCACTACCATTAACTAATTATTACATGTTTATTAATTACCTTTAGTTAGCCTATTTATTTCAACCATTTATCCATGACTTCAAGCTGTTTCTACCATATGTCCATTAGCTGTCTATCTCTGCTTCCTTGCTAATCACACACTCTTAATCACAATATGTGATGTTCAGTGTACAGCTGGTTTGATATCTGGATACGAGCTGCCTCACAGTCTCTCCATGTACCTCCTGACAGCTGTAGTTTGACTCACTGCTGCCTGTGTCTTGGGGCAGTTCTAAGTCATTTGGTGAATGTTTTGCAAGTTGTTTTAATAAGTGTAACCAAAGAAATGGTTTCGGTTTTCAGGGTAATTTGCTGGTCTAATTGCCACTTATATGTGTTGCTCTCTCTTCTTAGTGCGTAAGCTCATGGCAGACAAAGCCACTAATGTATATAATCTGATAAATGTGTTGCTAAAGTTGAAAGGATTCAAGACATCTGAAGCTCTCATCTGCTAAAGTTACTTAACATTAAATCCAGAGAAGGTGAGACCCTGTTGTCGTTCAAAACCACTAACGTCCACTTAGTATTATTTCACGCAGCAGTTTATCTGGTTTATATCTGAACACATCATAGGAAAGAAGGTCACATTTAATAACCCTGGGAAATGTTTTTGTGCCATGCCTATAGACTGATAAATAGATTTAATTTCATGCTTCTGATTTCTTCCCCAAGTGTTTTAGTGTCATTAAGAAAGCACGCTCGATTATCTCGCCCTGTGTGAGACACACACACATACACACACACACACACACACACATCTGCACCATACAGCTGCATGGCATTCAAATCTGCTGATAGAAGTTAGGGCCATGAGATGATGTCAGAGCTGCTGTGATGCTGCATTACTGCGTGTTACAGTACAAAACAGTCATTTGTTGAGAGGGTCATCTGTTAGCGGGCCGTTTGTTCATGGAGTGAGAGCCGGGCTGATGTAGCCTGGAGGAACATTTAAGTGGGTCTTCTCTTTTGAAGGGAGTACATTCATGCAGGGGTTTTGTCATCATCGGTCACATGCTACTTAAACTACGAAAGTAATGCGAAGTGAAACAGAGCTTTTATTAAAACTGATCTAGATGTCCTGAAGGTGGAGTGAAGATCTGTGTGAGATACAGGAAAAAAGAGAATATATAACCACAGATATCACAAAGCAAAATGTAGCACAGGAAAAGATGATAGAGATATTCCTCTTTGACACATTTAAAATTCAGTATTAACAAGAGAATTTCAGCATTTGACGTGATCACATTTGCTTCTCTCGCTAGCTCATTTTAAGAAGACGTGAAAATATTTTGGCAGCAAGTTGTTGAATTCAGTTTTCTCTTGATGAATTGCTCACTCAGTTTGCTCAGATACAGTTCCAGTTTGTGAATGTGGCTCATTTGAACATGCGTTTTTACCAAGTGCAGCTTTAAAAAGTAATTAATAATAAAAATAAAAATAAACAACCGTCATTGCCAGATTCTCTTCAATTTAATCTGCACTATGTAAGTGGTTCCAAATCAACGGGGCCGGGACTCCCAGAGGAGTTGAGAGATAAATCTAAGGGGTTGAGGTGATTAACAACAACAAACAACTATATTTTTTTCCAGACTTTTTTTTATCTGAAATACTGGGTAGTTTTACCTCCTCAGGCCTCTAAAACTATCCAGTTAAAACAATTCACCATTATACCTGTGATAAGGGCTGCTAGTGGGCGTCGCTTCACTTTGTGTACACTTGTATGATTGGTACATTTGCTTACTGCACTTTTGCAATTTTACTTCTATGTGACCCAGTTGTTGGTTAGGTTAAAAAAAACCAAAAAAACCCAATACATACATTTAAAAGGAGGATTTTGGCCACCTGAAGGAATTACTTTGAATGGAAATAAAATACTGTAGAAGAGAGCATCACTCTCTAGACAAACTACTTGTAATAACACAGGGCATTACTTTGCTTTAAAGGGCAACAAGCCCAAAAAGTTGGGAACCAGTGTATGTGTTCAGCACCTCTGTCAGTCTAGATCTCTCTGAGCTTTAGACATCGTTAGATGGACGGAGAGTTCTGCATGACCTTTGACATGAGAGCGTCACCATGTGTGCTTGAGTCCTGTCTGTCATATATACAGTATATGCACACTGTAACTGAACAATGTTGCGTATGTAGCTTTACACGTGTTAATGTCTGTAGGCTGCTTCATGAACTGGCTTACGTCTGCTGCTTAACGTAACTCTGCTCTCTTGTTTCCCTGCAGGTAAATACAGCCCTTGCACAACAACAGAGGTGAGTGACTCCACTGCAGTTCTGTTTTAATTACTGTATCTCATCATCACATGCTGCTGTCAGAGATTTGAACAGCATTATGTGGCCATGTTTATGTGAATATGTTATCAAAGTACCTGCTATAGGTGAGGGAGGAAATAAGAGCAAATATGAAGGATATGGTAACTTGTGCACATTATGTCTGAGATAACCAGGACTCTAAACAAGGACTTTTCCAGTTTTGCTTAAAAATAAAACATGTGTGCATGTTTTATGAAGGAATTACATGGGCATAATTAGTTTTGCAACATCGTGTGCGATATTTTTGTTGATTACCTCAAAAACCTCCGAGAACGCAGGATGGGAAACTCCAGGGTTCCTGGAAAGAACCCAATCAGTCAATTAACAAGATATTTATGAGGTGAACTATATGGTTGTAGAAAAAGATAATGGCAGGCTTAACCACAGTAATGGCACAATTTCCTTTTTTAAATATTTACCTTCCACTGTTGGTTACATTAGCGAGTTACAGTAAGAGAGGTATCCAGTCACAACAACAGAGATAGCATTGAGATTAGAGGGGGCATTCTGCAGGATTATTTCAAGTGCAACCAGAGTCAGATAGCGCTGTGGTTGAAACTGTCATAAGCCATTGGTTTATGATGTGATAATCCTGCAAAGCAGCTGCTGCCACTCCTGCTTAAACTAATACATTTAGCAAATGAAACAAGTTCAAGTGTATTTTTTTTTCCAATGGGCAATTAGTTTTGCATCAAGCTTTAGACACAGCATCACACAGAAGAAACAGAGCAACAAAATAAATTCCAGACAGTAAGTCTCCAATGCAATGTGTTGATGCAGAGTTTGTGAAGTCATGTTTGCAAACAACAGGGCTGTTTGTCATATCAATAACACTGCTTTTATACCTTGAAGGAAAGTAAGGCATTTTGGGAACTGAAGCTAATCAATTAGCCTAGCCTAGCATGAAGACTGAAGGCAGTCGTAAGCAGCTATCATGTCTCTCTGAAAAGTAAAAAAAAAAAAAAAAAAAAAAAAAAAAAAAAAAGGTTTTTAGAGGGAGTTACATGCTGTTACTATTACTTGACAACAGCTCTTTCATTCACCAAGCACCTATATGCAGAGTGTCTTCTGCTATTGCGCTGGTTGGTCACTGTGATGACAAGACACCTCGAAGAATCAGCACGAAACTCTCCATAAAACCACAAACTTTTGATTTTACATTTTGAATGAACAATGTGTAGATTTATGAGCTTTTGATGTGCTGGTAGATGTATTTTTGAAGTTTGTACAGAGCCAGGCTAACAGTTTCTCCCTACTTCCAGTCTTTATGCTAACATAAGATAATTGCCTCTGACTCTTCCATGTAGACATGAAAGCACTGATGTATTAAGGAGGACTGGAAACCACATTCAAATAGCTACTGCGCCAAAACTGCTGCACAGCCCAGCTTCCATTCCCCGGAGGAGGAATTGCTAGAGAGAGAAATTGAGTTGCAGCAGCCAAGATTTCAGTTTATTTGTTTATTTGATAGGGACAATGCAATTTAACATAGTTTCAAAACAGGGTATGAAACTAATGTGTTGCACAAAGAGTTTATAGCTGTTGCTAATTCTCGACTCCGGTCCCTAGTTGGGCTTTTATATGTGTAATAGAATTAAAACATTCAATAGCAAAAACAACAAAAAACAGACAACACAATTATAATACCAGACAATTAGCTAAAAACATACACAAGAACAGTCTAAAGAGACGACAACAACAGCACAACAAGCTTCAAGTAAACAATAGATACAAACGCCTAGAAATGGGTTCTGCTTGGGTTTGCTTTTAGCCAGCACTTAACCTTAGTCCCTATGGATCAAACTCCAAAAACACAGGACACTTCCCATGATCCAACTCAGCTTACACACCTTTCAAGCTCCAGTCGAGGCCAAACCCAGGGCGAGTTAACCCTGATGACATCATTAGGGTTATTTTCCCAGACTTGACGTAACATTATACGACTGTTTCCACAGGCTGAGTAGTCCCGTCCCCCCCCCCCCCACAATGAGTCAGCTAATCCTGATGTGTAAAATTGGTGGACTGGCCCTTTAAAACACAGAGCATATGGGACAGCTATCGCACCTACTCTGTTTACACAAGCCAGATCATTTGAATGCAGTTTGTTCAGGGTGTCTGTGCAGCGTTTATGTTCATATGTTCACTGCTGGTTGAGAGACAAAGGCTGTCAGTGTTGAAGACACGTTCCTTGCATGTGTCCCAGCCTCCCATCTTTCAGCTTGTGTCTTCACCCAGTCATTTTCTCCAGCAGCCCCAGAGCTCCCAGCTGCTTCTCTGATTGACTGGTTGGAAATGTCACACAGCAAGGCCTCCTGTTTGATGAGGAGAGCTTTCAGACCTAATTAAAGGGCTATTGTCCCTCCTCCACACACTCTCTCTGTACTGTAATCAACTGCTGTTAATTGTTGTGATAATATCTCGTGTAGAGGGGTTTTACAGGAAGGAGGGATTATTTTTTCTTCTTTTACTTTTTAGGAATTTTGTAGATGGACTCATTTGCTGCAGGGATTTTCTGTGGTGTCACTCTGACAAATTGAAAGTATTGTGTGTGTGTGTGTGTGTGTGATGTTGCACATCAACTGAGGATCTGTTCCCAGTTCATTAGAGACAATGTGCGGTAGTTTTCAGGGAGTTCTGTGTAATAGAGCTGCAATAACAGATGGACAGTCAGTGAATACTCAAGCACACACACACACACACACACACACACACACACACACACACACACACACACACACACACACACACACACACACACACACACACACACACACACACAGAGAGTTGGCTGTAGAGGCAGAGAATGTGAACCTGTATAGACAAATCCCTTCTAAGCAGCTTTGCACAAGAAATGAGTTCTCACAATACAGTGTGTTAGAGACTGGCTGACAAAACTACTGGCAAGTCTTTTTCTTGACAGCGTCAGATCCTGCAGCAGAGGCGCCGTGCTAACATACAGTGTGTGGAATTAGCTAAAAGCTGAATGAGCAGGAACACATGTGTAGTCATAGCTGACACACATTATCCGCACATGGCTTCAAACAGCATGAGCTCTTCCAAAGGATGTGACTGTGAATGTCAGATGATGCTGTTTTCACTAGAGCCAGTGAACCAAGCTCCTGGCACAGCACGCCACAGCGTAAGGCTCTTTGGGCAGTAATCACGACCGCTGAATTCACTGGAATTCACTGATATTCGTTAGTGGTTTTGTGTGTAATCAGTCAAAGAAGACAATTTTATTCTTCAGCTACATATACTCACTACTGTTTTTTGCCGACAGACAGAGCCGGAGGCATATTGTTTTCGGGTTGTCCGTCCACCGATCCCATTCTCCTGGACATGATATCTCAATAACGCCTTGATGTAACTTTAACTGCAAATTTAGCACAAACATTCACTTGGACTCAAGGATGAACTGATTAGATTTTGGGGGTCAAAGATCAAAGTTCAAGGGTGTGGTGACCTCACAAAAAATTGTTTTGGCCTTGTGAACACAATAGTTTAGTTTATTTAGTTTATTTCGAACATGTGCGAGTAACACAACAAAGTAAACCGAAAAACAAACAAATCCAATAACAATAGCCAAAACAAAAATAATAATGTGAACCCAACATGTCCGAAAAGGAGTAGGATGAAGCATATGCTTATTTAAACCTACCCCTTCTCCACTACTCAATTATCAATCTTTCAAAAAGAAAAAAAAAAGAAGTAGAAAATAAATAGATTAAATAAACAAATACATAAATCATTTGTCATTTATGAAAACACCCGATTATTAAAGCCCTTCTTCCTCCCTGTACCTCGTGAAAACCATGTGTTTGTACCGCTTTTTAAACTGGATCATGCTTGGACATTACTTGAGCTCCACACCCAGTCTGTTCCACAGCCTCACTCCACAAACTGACAGACAAAAACTTTTTAGTGTTGTACGTGCCCGCTGATGTTTTAAGTTGAACTCACCCCTCAGATTATAACCCCCAACTCTGTAAAAAAAATAATTTTTGAATATTTCCAGGAAGTAGATTGTTTATTGCTTTGTACATAATTTGTGCTGTTTGGAAATGAACCAGGTCAGTGAATTTTAATATTTTTGATTTTAAGAATAGTGAATTTGTGTGATCTCTATAACCGGTATTATGAATTATTCTTATGGCTCTGTTCTGCAGTATGGATAGAGATTGTATTGTACATTTATAAGTATTGCCCCAAACCTCTGCACAGTATTGTAAATATGGTAAAATCAGTGAACAGTAGAGAATATGGAGTGATTTGTGGTCCAGAATGTGTTTTGCTTTGCTCAGAACTGAAATGCTTCTTGACAGTTTGCTTTGTACATGTTTTATATGAGACTTCCAGTTTATTTTATCATCAATTGCTACCCCAAGAAACTTGTTTTCATATACTCTTTCAACATCCACCCCATCTATTTGTAACTGTACTTGTGTATTCGTATTGCAATTGCCGAATAGCATGAATTTGGTTTTACTTAAGTTTAACGATAAGTTATTTCTGTCAAACCACATTTTCAGTTTGCACATTTCAGTGGTAATCCAACCCAGTAGTTCATGTAAATTCCCCCCAGAACAAAAAATACTAGTGTCATCTGCAAATAACACTAATTTTAATGTTCTTGAAACTTTGCATATGTCATTTATGTAAAGTATAAATAGTGTTGGACCTAATACTGACCCCTGTGGGACGCCACAAGCAATGTCCAATATGTCCGTAACACCTTGAGGGAGTTTCTTATTCTATTCTTATTCTAAACTTATTAGACTTTGGTGGTCAAAGGTCACGGTCACAATGACCTCTGAAAACACTTTTTAGCCATAACTCAAGACTTCACACAGTAATTATGACAACATTTCACACAAATGTTTAGTATTTTATATGATCATCATCATATCAACTAGTGGTGGGGACATAGAACCGCAAGGTGG